TGCTGGCCTTCAACTTGCCATACTCCTGCCTTGGCACTGCAAGTCCTGGGGTCACAGGCTTCCACCTCCCTGCCTGGTAGAGGGAGGAGTCATTTTAAAAATGACTACATTAGTTCTTGACTACTTTAAATGTTTTATTTATTTTATCCAAAGTTAAGTATTGGAATTCACTGAGTATTTTTGTATGATTTTTGTGTGCATGTTCTATTGGTGCTTTATGGTACTTTGTATAAGAAGCATCCTGTTTTTGAGAAAATATTTCATCCCTGTTTTTTATTTTCCCCCCCAAAGGTCAAAATACTTATCAATCATATTGAATTATTTTACTCAATTTTTTATCTTTGCTTAGTTTAACACTAAAAATATGAAATATATGCACTTTATCATCCTATATGTTTTGTCTAACATTAAAAATGTATTACTTGCTTTATTAATAGGCTAGTAAGATTTTTATTGATTAACAGTTAATTTTGCAGTGTAACTACAAAGGGAATTCAGAGTTTAGCAGCTGTTCGTTTTAGGAACAATTGAATTTTCTTAATCTTAGTAGGAATTTTTAAGATAATGCATCAAGAATATCAAATAAAACTTAAATATGTTTCTTTGGGTCCCATCAACATCCATATTCTTTTGCAAAAATATTAGAGCAACAGAATGTTATAATTTTTCCCTTAAAAGTATATATGGAAACTTCATTATTTTTGCAATTAATTTTCTGTTTAATCTGTATCACCAATATAAAACTTAGTGAAATGTTGTTTTTGTCTTAAGTTAGTAGTGTTTGTCATCCTTTAAAAATAATGTGTATGTTTATGGATGATCAGATACAGAAATCAAACCCAACAACTTATGCTTTAGTATGTGCACTGCCGAAACAGGCCCAGCAAGTTGCTGTACAGCGTAGCTTGGCTCATTGCCGTCACTACGCCGGTTTCTGATTACCTCTTTTGGCAAACATAGATTCTGAAGTGCATTATTTGGCAGATTATGGTTATTATAAATAGCCGCTACTCTACTGAGCCGAAGGAATTCTGTGCCTAGTTGTGAGATACTGCTAAAATTTTTTTTCTTTTGTTTTTATAGTGAAAGAAAACCTGGACATAGTCTGTAAATATTGGAAAATGTCCACTCCCCTTTTACATGCCATTACTTTTTTTTTTTTTTGAAGTTACAACTTTTCTGTTACTTGTTTGTCTAACTTGCATTTATAACATTAATGCCTATGTTTTACAATTCTTGAAAGTTAAACAATTTAAATTCTGCTAAACATAAATTTTTCTCATTTACCTGGCACTTTTACATAGACCCATCATCACTTTTGTTGTATAGTAAATGAGGGGCCTTATTCTTTCATTCACTCAGTTATAATATTTTTTACTGTCTTCTATGCTTTTAAAGTCAGCTTTAATTTTTCCAGTGTTTTAATCATACAAGTTAAGCAATACTCAAAAGTTAATTGTGTAAGCATAATGTTGTTTTAAAAATTTCTCCTTGATTTTTTTTCAAAACTGATTAATACGACAGTTTCAATAATTGATACATTGTACATTGTTATCTTCTTAGTGGTTATCCATACTACAACATGCAGACAGAATATCCTGTCCAAACACTATTAGTACAAATCTTTCTTCTCATTGAATTAAGCAAAAGTAGTTGTATATCTATCCTAACTATTCTGCATATACAGATACAAAATGGTCCTTCCTTTGTATTGCCTTTTTTTGTTTATTCCTATCAGAAATGGGTATTCCATTGGCACCTAAATACTATAGGTGCATGAATTCAGCAAAACAATCCAACATAGTCCAGCAGTCCACAATAGTAGTGGGTTGTCCACAGAATTTATTGACTTGAGCCTTTCACAGCTCAGCATATTAATATGGCTTTACTTTATATAACTCATTTTTATACTTCTCTGCTGGATGGTTAAGACCAAGATAAAGCAAGACCTATATAACAAAAAATGTAACTTCTGTATCTGATAAGGTCATTCAAGTACACACCAAAAAAAAAAATAATAATTCTCCTTGAGGGGCTGGCCAAATAGCTTAGCAGATGAAAGTGCCTGCATAGGCAGACAAAGGGCCGGGAGTTCCATGGTTCTCCGGGTCTGCCTTGCTGGCCCTGCCCCGGGGGAGGGGGAGAATTGAGATGATGAATGAGATTGGGCGCCGTGGCGCGTGCCTGTAATCCCAGCACTACGAGTCCAATCTATGCATTGAAACCCCATACACCCTGTACTCCCTGTTCTAAATAAATAGATTAAATAAAATTTCTCCTTATTCTCTTTATAGTTTTTATCCTCAATTTTGTCTTTTTTTCAAATAAGCTAGCTCCATTTTCCCTTGTAGAGGGCTATAAAAACATTTTCACTAAGTCCAATGAGAATCTTTTTGCCCTAATACTTGAGGAGTCTCCTTCACAGATAATGTCAGAACTTCATTAGAAACTTGGAAGGGAAGGAGTTTTTGTTGTTGCTATTTACAGTACAGTCATACTACAAATCATATTTCTTGGAACATACCAGAATTCAGTAATTAGTGAACAAATGATTATGATCCCAGTGTAATAAATCAAAAAGGTGCTTCTGAGCCTATTTCTTGACTTGTTATGATTAAAAGGAACATTTGAAATTTAAAATAAATTATTTTCTGTTCCTAACCTTGGTCAAATTATTTATTGTAATGGTAATAACAAGAATAAGCAAAGAACACAGAAACAACAAAATGAATTCTGGTGGCATTAGAGAGAGAATGAGGAAAACATAGTCCTTTTCTCCTGGTACATATGGGACACTTATGTGTGTCTTGAGTGCCAGGAGATTGCTTTATTCACCTCTGCTTTCCAAGACCATCCGTTTTGTGTCTTAGATGCTCCCCTGAGAAAATTAATAATTTAGCCAGTATTGGCAGGGAGAAACTTAGGAACACTGGGTTGATTTCTTAGCATTTTCTTTTTTCTTTCTCACACTCGTGGGCTGACTTCCATTCTTTTGTCATATATTGGTCTTTTCTTCTCTGTTAGCATCATATGCTCTCTGCTTTCTCTTTTTTCTGCACTCTGTGAAGTAACTTGTGTTTTCCCCATTCAAGTTAACTGTGGCGTTCAGCTGTATCAATTAATTTTTGCTTTACTTCCCTTATCAATAGAAAATTTTCTCTTTATAAAATACCATGTGGACTAATCCTTGTTAAGCAAGAAAGCAGTACATCTATATACATTTTGGTGTCTGTACTTGAGCTTAATACCATACACAAAGAGACCAAGAATTGACAAGCTTTGAAGTACCATGTGTATCACTTATCGTGATGTGCATCTCTTAACGTAGTGATCTGTGAGTTTAAAAGCTATTATAGGACTTCATGATTTACAGAATTACAGTTGGCACAGCATGCTGAAATTTAACTACTTTTTAAGGTAGTTGGTGTTATTTAAATCACTTAATTGAATTTTGATTATATTAGAACCATCTAAAATGAGGCCTAAACCTCTGCATTCAGTTTCATTAATTTTTGAGAATATATAATCTAAAGATACAATATGATACCACTGGTACTCTTAAGTGAATATCTGAATTATAAGATGATACTGGATTCTAACCGTTGTTTAATTCCTTCATGAGAAGATGACAAGATATAGCTTGTCATCATTGTCTTATGTTGGTGGCCAGTGATGTTTTAGTAACTCATGGTTACTCATCAGGTGATTTTGAGTTAAGCACAAGGAGATACTCTGAGGTGGCCAAAACCCAAAGAATTGGGGCAGACATGCTTCATTGTAAGCAGCCTCCCTTGCTGGGTGGACCACAGGGTACATCAGTGTCCCTAGGAGATCAGGAAGGCCCTGGCATCAGCCAGGGAGACTTTGGCCCAGCTATGTGCAGGAAATACATTCTTCTAGTGTCTTGAATGAGTTTGAAAGTGGATTCTTTCCACAGAATCTCTCCATAAAAACCCAGCCTGGCTATCAACTTACCCTTTGCCCTGTAATCCCCTTCTCAGAAAAAATCAAGGGTTTCTCCTGGGAATTCCGACCAGTAAGACTATGAAACAACATATCAGTGCTAATATAGGCTAAATTTCTGTGAATTTGCTATGCTTTAATATAGAATTCATGTAATATTAAATTTTAAATAAAAAAACTTGTAAAATCAAATGTGGATGTGGAACTGAAACTCTCTTTGGGTGAGAATGTAAATTACTATAGTGACTATAAAACACATAAAAATATCCCAGAAAAATTAGTTTCTAGATTTTTCTAATTAAAACTGTTTGAACATCCAACAAAAACTAAAAAAATCTTTACAAACATTTGCAATAGCCCTAAAATTGAAATAACTCATATTTGCTACCAATAAATGTATAAGTACTTGTGGTATCCAGTGGAGAGATACACAGCTAAGAATATATCCACTATTACTGTGTCTGGATTAGTGTTGCATACATTCATTAAAATAAGCCAACCCCCAAACTAAAATAAAATAAGTCACCCATGTAATAATATATCACAAATGATTATGATCTATAGGGATTGAAAATTGGTGAAATATCTTCTTAGTAATATAAATGATAATATTGATTGACTACTGAGCCTCTATAGTAGTTGTCTAGATGAGGTTTATAGTGAGTGGAGGGCCTTGGGTGTGCAGGAGTTACTGGCTTTTATGCTGATTAAGCAGGTGTGCTCATGTAAAGATGTATTTAACTATGCATGCACAAGTTGTGCTCTCTATTGTTTGTTAAAAAAATTAAAAGCTTTTTTTTTTTAAAAATAAGGGCTTTAAGATATTTTCAACACTTTTTCCACAGAGGGTTTGAAGAGAAGAAAGAAAAAATTTGGCTAAGATCATAAAGGTGTATACAAAGGCAATATAGAAAATGATAGTCGAATATAACTAAATGATAATGTTTTAATTAAATTATCTCTTATTTGTCCGAAAACAGAAAAGGGGAATGGGACAATCAGTATTTTTGACATTTACAGTTCATTATCCTTTACAGCAGTTTGCCGGGAGGATTCCTACCACTCTGTAGTCTCATGTGCTGCTGTCGTTCTTGCTCCTGTGGAACCAATGATAGAAGTGAAGAAAAGAGAAGAGCCAAGATATCCTGAGCCTTCTAAGCAGTAAGTTGCCTGGTTAATGTCACAAAATCAACTAGACAGGTGGTCAGAATGACATTGCTCAAATTATGATTTGCAGTTAACATGAAGGTTAGTATATAGGTACAACAAATAAATCAGTGTAAGTCACTGCTGCTTCCCAACTTGGAGCATTTGAGTGATATGTCATTTCAGTTTTATGTTTTTGTCATGTTTTACCAGACTACATCCTTAGACTAAACATTTATGATTTTGGATGCCCTGCTGTTGGATTATTTATTTTATAAGCTTCATTGGTCTCAACTGGAATCCAATTTTAATATCGATTTCTATTTGGTTGCATTTGTATAAGGAAAATTCCTATTCGAAAATATTTTCATGAACTGAAAACTTCACATTGTTAAATAGATAGTGTTATACGAGATATGGGTATTTCCCAGGAGAAAGCAGAGCCGCTGCTCTGGACAGCTGTCAATATCTGATCTGTTCTTATTGCATTATGAGGCATATGTTTTAGACATTATAAGCTGTCAATTTTTAAACAGTTTTCAGAAAATATATGTATGTTCAATAAAATTATTTTAAAAGTCCAAAATATTTAAATATTGTTATTTAAATATTGTTATTTAAATATTTTAAGCATTCATAAAAATTTGAAGTTGGTCTTAAATGAATGATAGACTATTATTCTTTTAATGGCCAAAGGGAATTAAATTCATGTTAATGGATGTAATGTACATTGGCATGAAATGTGAACTATGATTATTTCTTGGTCTGTGCATGGTAAGTTGAATGAGAAAACCTTCTGCTGATATTCCAGGGAAAATTGTTCCATGCCTGCTTTGTGGGAGGCTGTGATGGACAGTGTTGCAGTGCTGGTCAGCTGACCATGCCGGGAGCCAAGTGGGCAGCGCCTTCACAGGCGTACCTTCCCCCCTTTGATTACAGTGTACTGTGATTGTACAAGTCTTTCAGCGGGGTGATAAGCTTCTAAAGACAGCTTCTTACAATTTGGTCGTATTTGATACTCTTTGTGAAAGCACTTAACAAATCCCTTAATGTTATATTCAATAATATTCAAGTGGAACAATGCACATATTTGAATGTATAAGGACATTTAGTATTAACATTCTTATTATAGAGAGAAGAAATGCTGAACAATTCAGAAAATAATTATTGTAATTCAGTTTTAATATAAACCATAAGTAAACACAATTTAACCATTTTTAATATAGCCTCATTTTTAGATTCAAAAAGCTATTTTTTGTTTAATAGGAGGAAAATTATATCTAATAGTATTTGCTAAATGCATTATATTAAAAGCTCAAAGCATTTTTCTGTGAGTTTACATATTATCTATATACTTCGATTTTTTTTTTGTATTTTAGGGAAGGGTCTACAGGGTGTTCAGGGTCTCACTACTAGATCAGACTCATAGTGATTCTCCTGTTTATAGCCTCCCAAGAGCTGGGATTACAGGTGCACGCATCACGCCCAGTCTCAATTGCCATCTCAGTGCACCCTGGGTGCGGGGCTGGCACAGCAAGACTGGGGATTGGACCCCTGGCTCCTGCGCCTGTTTACAGGTGCTTTAATCTGCCTAGCTGTTTGGCCAGCCTGATACTTTTAAATTTGATCTTAAATTTTCTCTGAATTATTTTTAAGGTCTCTCATCCAAATTGGTTAGTAATGATACTTATTTATCTATGTTTATTTTCTATTCTGCCGCTAGTTCACACACAGTAGTTTTTCTTATTCTGAGATAGATGTTATGGCAGAGAGAATTTACCATCTGTTTTCTTTCACTCAAGTTCAGAGGTTCCTCATTATTCATGGAATCTTTATTCTTATTTAAATTTTCTCCCTTAACTATATTACTAATTTGTGTATGTTTTATTTGCCTTTGCTTTTTTTTTTTTTTTTTTTAAGATACCAGGGATTGAATTTAGGACCTTGTGCTTGCCAGGCAAGTGTTTGTGCTACTGAGCGGTCTCCCTGGCCCAACCTTTGCCTTTTAAGTCAGAGAGACTTTGTTTAAAGTATCTGTTTTCCAGCACAAGAGATTATAATTGTGGACATTGTGTCTTAGCTTGTGCTTTACTTCACCCGTTCATTAAGTGGGGTTATGTACCACCATTATTGTGAATGTTATGTGGAAGGTATGAGTAAAGAACCTAAACTAAATAATTCTAGAGTGCCATTATGGTAGTTCTTTCTTAACTTCAGTTGTGAACATTATAGATGACTTCGTGTATGTTTTTTTCTCTGGATGGTGCAATGAATGAAAGTGTAATATTTAAAACTTTTGACCAGACTTGTCTAACTAGGTGTCCTAGCAGAACTGGCTGGCAAGGATGTCTGAAAGGAAATTAATTACCTCCACTAGCCTTCTTAAAATCATGATTTTTTTCTGAATTCTATGTTTGTGAAGAGCTTTGTGCTTTGGAAAACCTCAATTTATTTGGATCCTTTTGTCTCAGATTCAGTTAGTTTTCAACTACTTGATTGTTTTCATTTCATATTTTCTTTACTATTTGACTTGTGCTAGAAGAAATCGGTATCTCATGTTTCAATATTTTCTTTCTTTCTTTCTTTCTTTCTTTCTTTCTTTCTTTCTTTCTTTCTTTCTTTCTTTCTTTCGTATTTTAGAGAAGTGTCTACAGGGTGTTCAGGGTCTCACTACTAGATTGGACTCGTAGGGATCCCTGTGTTTTACAGTCTCTCAGGAGCTGGGATTACAGGTGTGTGCCACTACACCCAGTGTCAATTGCTGTCCCAGTGCGCCCCAGGGGCGGGACCAGCGTGGCAGGCCTGGGGATTGAATCCCTGGCCCTGCACCTGCTTCTAGGTGCTTTAATCTGCTGAACTATTTGGCCAGCCTCACGTTTTAATATTTTCTGATATTTAACTTCCATTATGATTTTAAATGAACTATTCAAATATTTTCTATCACATATTTTAGTTGTGTTCATAAAGAAATATCCTTTATCAAAAGAAAATACCATATGACCTATGCATTAAACATGATTATTTTGAGAATTAAATGATAGATATGCGTTTGTTAAAAAATATATGTGTATGCAGATAATTAACTCATTGTTTTAATTTTCCAATGAGGGAAGCCCCAATCCAGTCTGGCTTCAGAAAAATCAAGGTTAGTAATGGTCCTGGACTCATGTGACTGGACATAAAGAGGGAGAGCTTTCAGGTTTAGTTGGGTCTGGTCTTCGGTTTCATCAAGGACCATTCTATTTGTATCTCTTTGCTTTAATTTCCTGTGCGGAGTCTTCACTTTTCAGCAGTTTCTTTAGATGGTGGCGTTACTGCTGTCAGCAGCCACAATATAGGTGCTCATCTAGTAAGCACGTCTTAGTTTATTTGACTTGATCATTCTGAAACAACCACTGTACCTAAAAGAATTTGGTGACATGATTGGTTCAAGATAGGTTTCATCACAAGGATAGATCACAGTGTAAAGATGAAAGTTCAAAGGTTATTCCAACATTGAAATATGGGTGATGTTGGTAAAAGAAGACAGACAGATATAATGTAGGGCTAAATAGTAGATGATCAGTAAATACAGTAATATCACCACCATTTATTTTAAAAGTTAGGGTTTTAAGGCTCAGCCAAATAACTCAGCTGACTAAAGCACCTGCTTAGGCAGAGCACATTGGCTGGGGTTTGATTCCTGGTGTGCGGTGCCGGCCCTGCCCCTGGGGCACACTGAGATGGAGATTGAACCTGGGCATGGTGGTGCATGCCTGTAATCCCAGCGCTTGGGAGGGAAACAGGAGAATCACTGTGAGTCTGATCTACCTAGTGAGACCCTGTAGAAAAAAGAAAAAAAAGTTAGGCTTTTAAATTATGCATACTGAGATACTCCAATACAGTAGCACATGTATATCTTCATTTGTCATTGTAAGTGAATTTTCAGCTACTTTGATTTAGTTCATGTTCTTCAGCGGGGCTGAGCTGTTGACAGGCAGTATAATTTGATGGTTTAGAGACACTTAGCTCATGTTTTCATAAATCTTTGTTTTCCAATTTTTTATGTTTTTCATTAATGTGAGATTAATTTGTTATACTGTAATTCCTTAAACAATTGGGAGTTAGAATGTGTAGATTCTGTGATTATTTTATAACAAATACATTAAATAAGTAGTATTCAATGGTTTTGGTAAGGTCCTTTATACCTCTTCTCCTTTTCTCTATCTTCACCATATTCCTCATCCCACATTCTGTACCTTCCTGTTTACTATCATCTGTCTTTTATTATACTCTTTATTTTTCCTTTCATGTTTTCGTATAAGAGAAATCATGTAATATTTAACTTTCCGTGTCTGACTTATTTCATTAGCATTATAGATGCAAGGTATATTAATTTTCCTGTGACTGAGTCAAATTTGTCCTTTATGGCTGCGTAGTGCTCAGTTGTGTGTGTGTGTGTGTGTGTGTGTGTGTGTGTGCGTCTGCGCACCTTTCTTTTATTGGTTGATGAATATATAGGGTATTTTCAAGATTTTGCTATTATAAATTTTGCTGCTGTAATCATGGGTATGTATAATATGATTTCAGTAACTGTTCTGAAAGGAGAGCAGAAGATGCATAGTTAGGCCAAAGGGAATTTCCATTTTCGTTTCTTGACGTGTCTCCACAGTGATTTCCACAGTGATTGTACTAGCTTATTTTCCCACTGACAATGTAGAAGTGCTTTTTTCCCCCTAAAACTTTACCAGCATTTTTTTCTTTGATTCCTGATGATATATATTCTTTTAGGTGTGAAATGGAATCTAAGTGTTGTTTTAATTTGTCTTTTCTATAATGGCCAAAGATAGTAACTGTTTTTTCATACGTATTAACCATTTGTTCTTCCTTTGAGGTGTCTGTTTATTTTTTGATTAAGTCTTGAATTTGAGGATAATCTGATGTGCTTACTTTTTTACAAATTCTAACTCTGAGTCTTTTGTGTGAGGAGTCCCTGGTTAAAAAAGAATACTCATTCTGTAGGCTATTTCCACACT